ATACTAACATCTAGCTAGCTTTGACTACATCTTCACAGTCCACAACCATGAAACAATCTGCTTATGAGAACTCCTGGTCTCCAAATCCATAGAACATATGAATCACCGTATTTGACCATAACTCCACCACCTGAATGTCTAACACATCTCCCATACACGATCATCCCACGAGGAATGCTTCGATAATTCTTCCATGCCACATAGCGAAAATTGAATATCAGCAATCAATCAACCAGGCGATTACCGCTATACCAATGAAGCATCCGTAAGTCAAAACTTAGTGCTCCTTCTGAGATGCACACCCTACTCAGGTAATACCAATTAGTCCAAATATCTGAAATTGCTTGTGCTGCATAAACTCATGATCTCCCTTTTGGAACTGAATCGTATACTTGCACATGCAGATCATAATCTCAAAGCACACCTCATCTATTATGAAATCATATAAAAAGTACGAGAATCTCATAATCCACTCCGAGTCAGCAGCAGAATACGTACTCAATCGGTCAGAAACTTTCCTTTTGATCTTATCCAGTAGAAAATCACTATACTCAACATGCTCCTCATGCTGGTAGGAAATATCCATCTCAAACCATGGTAGAGATCATCGAGAACACTCCGAAACCTATTTGCATATAAGCAAACCATCAGAACTGAATCTCTCTAACTCAACTAAGCCACGCCAGTGCCATATCCAAGAGTGTTGCCACAAACACCTGTAGGGACTCACCACATCAAAAGTACCTAAAGAACCGATCATGTCCATTACTGTACTGATCCAACCTACTACCAAGTGGTCCTATTCCTTCAAATTCCTTTCGAATTGCATTCAAGTTGATACTTCTCCTTACTAGAACACCATGATCCTTAACCAAAACTCACCCCACAAACCCTAGCATAGAACCACACCACCTAAAGGCGCATAAGCCGTCGTACTCCCTCTTAGCACCCCAAAGTACCACAATCGAAGCACCCGCTCTGAAGATACCTTATGTGCACCCAAAACTGTTTCCTTTACCTCCCTAGTATTGAAATGTACAATCCATAATGATATAGAAATACCGCGAGTTTCAACACCATCCAATGTAAATCTTAGTTTCTGGCTATACGCAAATCCGCAAAATTCTCAATTGCTACATATAAATCTTGAATCCATTAGAACCATTCTCGAGAGTCATCCACTCTACTCAAATCTCAATCGCACCGCCCAAAAGGGCCGAATGACTTGTGCCCCATTAGCACGACAACACCCAAAGAAGTAACCCCTCCATAACACAGCCAAGCAAATTCCTACTCCATGCCCACTACATCCTTCACGAATAACCACTCAATCATTCCATAATTTCCATATACCCATAGAAGGTAATACAACCCGTATCTAGAAATTGCCTTACTCGAGTCATCCTCGATCTCTTCTATTGCAAGTCATAACTGATTCACTAGTATGCCTTAATCTGAAACCAGTACAACACCTAACCACGCAATCAAATCGTCAATAGCAGACTCCCCCACTTGGCTCAAAGCCATAGAACAAAATAGTCGATAACTCATAATACCCATACTCTATTACTGCCATAATCCCGCACTAAAATTCAACTAAATCCTTCATATGTTCATGTAACACAAACCATATAATACCTCAAATCATTTGCTAAGCTCACATTCATCCTCGCGATGGTCAGGATCAACTATTACAACTGATCCAAACTCAAATCGCACAAGTATAACCCACTGGTAGAAAAGAAAGCCCCCGCACAACATCATAAAAATCACACATCCGCAAATTATCTCGTAGGTTATAATCCACATACTTAGCCTCAAACTGACATCTCTTTATGCCCTTTCACAACCACAACTACTGCACAATCACTTAATCTTCCTAAGTCTGAACTCGCCAACAAGGCATGAGGACCTAATTCGTTTCACAATTAAACAACATGAAAGATCCTCCAGTACACTAATAACTGGAGACTACACGTCAAATAAAGACAAAAATCAAACACCCAATGGTCCTTTTACATCTCAAGCAAACTCTTCTCAACACCTTCGAACCATCTGAACACATCCCGCAGTCTCATCACACTCATCATATAGTCATCCAATCAGTCATCGAGCCACAAATTCCACTAATAGGGACAGTACGATACTTATAAGTCCAAAAACATGTGGTCACACAACCGAAATCCCCGTGGTCGAGCTACAGTCAAAACCCGGCCTCAAGTCCTCCAGACTGGCCCATCATCAACACACAGAAATCACATCTTTCACCCTATCCAAGGAATCACAAGTCGTTGATGCACAACTGATACCGAGCACTCATGTGTGCATATGAATGCATGGAAGGAATTCAAATAGTTACGCTTCAAGCTGAATCAATGTCGCACGATAAGGAAAAAAAGATGGGAAATCTATCCTAAATGACCTGTAGCCTCTCGAAGATAGGTATGGTCGTTATCATACTGATCCGCAAGACTCTACTAGACACTTGCTCATGACATATAGAACCTATGAACCTAGAACTCTAATACCAACTTGTCACGATCTAAAATCCAACTAGTCATGATGGCACCTAACCAACCTGCTAGGTAAGCCAATTTACAACTATCCAATTTAATAAGACTTATTAAGAGAAGAAATAATAATAATACAACTATTTTATACAAGAATTTTCCCAAGGACTGGTAGTACAAATCATGAGCTTCTAAGATTAGAATTTACAATGCTGGTGTGAAATAAAAATACATCATCTGTGCCATACGCAATAACAACAACATCCAACATCTGCACACAAGGTGCAAAAGTGTAGTATGAGTACAACCGACCCCATATATTCAATAAGTAACAACCTAACCTTAGGTTAAAAGTAGTGACGATCTAGAACAAAGGTCGGGTCCGACACCAATAGCCAACAATAGTTCATAATAACATAGTGCAAGTAATAAAAAAAGTATCTCAGAAATAGAATGCTCAACTCGTTCACAGTTCTAGAAAAATGGCATGCTTTTCAAGTATCTCAGCGAAAATCCAAATCTTTTACTGAAATTGCCAAGAAAATATGAGTAAGCTTGAAAATTGTGATTTTCCCAAAAATCCTTTCAACAATAAATAGGATGTTTCATTTTCAGATAGCGTAAGGAAAGTACATCTCTATGCCTACATGTCCAGATACAGGTAAAATCATGATTGTCACCAAAATCGGATAATAGAAGGAAATGCATCTCTAAGCATGTATCTCAGGTACGCATGTCAAATGCAATACATCTCAGTGATGAACTCATGTACTCACACTCTCAGAGTAGTCAATCTCACTATCTCGCATTCTCTCTCACCATACTCAATACTCAACACACTTAGTCACTCAACACTATACAATATGTGTTACGGCGTGCAGCCCGATCCATATATAGTCTTAAAGCCCGTTGTAGGGTGCAACCCTATCCACACATACACACACACACACACACACA